GGTGGCTGTGATGGTAGCGGTTGAGAGAGCCATGCTGTGTGGGGAGGACAAGGGGCCGTCAGCATGGCTGGGCTCTGGGGGTGGGAGGAGGGCGCCAGGCCGGGCCCCACAGGCCGAGAGAGGTCCCCTACCGATGTCCTGCAGGGGGCTTAATGGCAGTAGAGCGGCACTCACGTTCGGGGGATCACGGGAGCCGTGGAGCCAGGATGTCCTTGATAGGAACGTTCCCGCCCCGGGTGACCCACCCTGGCCTCAGTTTCCCTTGCCTGTCCTGGGGGCGGGGTGGGCACTGAGGTAAGGACTGCAGGGCTGTGGGCGGGGCACGGCGTTAATCCTGGCAGATAGGCCAGTGCCTTGTTTCATCCGTCTGAGTGGCGCTCACTGTCTCTCGCCCTCGGTGCAGCTGTGGAGCCGAGAGGGCGAGTGAGGTGCCCAGGATGCATCGACTGGGCACCACACAGCCGGGAGCGGGGCAGACAGACACCCCTGCCCTCTCGGAGTGGACACTCTAGTGGGGGAGTCGGACGGTACACAGCGGCCTGAGAAAGACGCCAACTCGTTATGGGGACCACGAGAGAGGCTCAGTAGAGGGGGCAGAGAACAAGGAGGTAGGTGGTCAGGGTGGGCCCCTGCGGTCATATCTGAGGCAGCCTGAGGAAGTGAGGAAGAGAGAAGGAAGAGGTGCCAGTGGCCTGGGGCTGGAGGGGAGTCGGGGGCCCTGACCCTCACCCCAAGCTCTTACGTAAATACATGAACCCCCACTGGCTGTGCATGGGCTAGCGCTGCGAGCCGCAGCATGGCTGCCGGCTGGAGCCCGCGCCGAGGCCCCTGGCTTCTGTGCGACCTTGGGGGATGTTGGTGTGGCTGTGACCCCCCACCAATTTCAGGATGGGGACCAAAGATCGGGTGGTTTCTTCCCCAGAAATGCATATTGTTTTATTATGCAGCCGTAGCCGGCCGCTACAGTGACTTGCTGTGTTAGGGCATCAGGGCCCTGAGTGGAAAGAAGGTGCCAAACCCCCCTCTCGCGGAGCCGGGCCCTTACCTTTTCAGGATTGAAATCTGGAGGGTAATACTTGTTTACACCTTTCCTTTCACCCTGGAACATAGGAGAGAGAGGTGACTCAGGGCGGGCCCTCAGGAAACCTACCTGCGAAGCCTTGAGGGAGGGACCTTGGCAAAGTAGGTGGGCCCAGTCCCCGAGGCTGGTGAGCGCGTGGCATCTGCTCCGAGAGAGACTCGGGGCTGCGGGGAAAGCCTGCTGCCAGGGCTCTGGAAGGTCCCGCATGAGGACGATCCTTCTGGAGCAGGGGACCTGCTTTCGATGTTGGCCATGGCTCTCGGTGAGAAAGCACCGCAGGTAGCTTTGTAACTTCGCTGCAGCCTGACCGGGACTTGGGCTTCATGTGCCACCGCCATCCTGACGTGGGATTCTCTCTCTTTCAGAATGCTGGCCGCCACCTGCTACGAGGACCCACCGAGTCGCCAAAGCAGTGCATCTCAAACCACAGCTACCTGGGACCCATGGCCAGAAGCTCCCCGGACAGAGACGCTGGCCTGGGGCACGGGGCTTTGAAAAAGTCCCCTGGAAACCAGGCAAAGCACATACTTGTACAGGCACGTGTGTCAGAGGAACACCAGCCACCACAGCCACACGTGCATCAGCCACGGGCACGCTGGGCTCCACCCACACCACGGACTCTGGCCGCTGTGTGAGGAGCCTCACGGTTGGTTAGGAGCCTGTGCGCAGCAGAATGCAACATCGCCGGGTCCTGCGCCACCTTCACAGCTGTCCTCATGTCCGAGTCCAATGTGGCGGCCACGGTGTCCACCCATCTCATGGAGGGCCTTCCTCTCTTTCGCTGCCCCTCCCCTTGACAATGCACGGTGTTCTTTTCCAGGGCCTGGTCTCTCCCGATCACAGGTCTGAAGTCTGTAAGGAGCCCCATCAAACTCGCTTCTAAGGAGCATCTGGCTGTCTTTCTCCAGGAACAGACCCCTTTGCTCTTTCGGCCGGCCGTGGCATTAGTCTTTGCCAGCACCGTCCATCCAAAGGCACCGGGTCTTCTTCCAGTGTCTTCCTTGTCCAATATCCGACTGTCACGTGCAGATGAGGTGATGGAAAATACCATGGCGTGAGTCTATTGGGGCTGTTACCCAGCTATGGAAAAGGCTGCAGGGTTGGGGCCCAGGTGCAGCGTGAGGGATGCCCACGTGCCTGCGCTCCACGGAAGGAACCAGACTCCAAAGGTCCTGTGCTGTTGGCTTCCACTGATGTGGAAGGGAGACAGAGGCAGACTAGCCGCGGCTCCCCTGGAGCCGGAGGGAAGGGGGTGAGTCGAGGCGAGGTGTCCTTGGGATGGAGGACAGTGGAACCAGAGAGTGGCAGCGGTGGCTGCATAACACAGTGCAAGTGACCTTAGGTGAACTTCACTTCCGCTCCAACACGAAACCAGCCTAAACTCAGCCAAACCACAGAACTGAAAAAGCCCCACGGGCGAGCCCATGTGGGCATGTGACCCAGCACCCATACAGGCGTGTGACCCAGCGCCCATACAGGCGTGTGACCCAGCGCCCATAGAGGCTGGGAGGAGAAAGGGTCCTGCTCAAGCCAGGAGGCCAAGAGCTGTTCACTCACCATCTTGCCAGCGGCCTACCGCTCCTTGCCCTCAATGCGGCCGATCAGAAATCGCAGGTCGAGGGGGCTGCGCTTGGCAGAGGCGCTTCTGGGGAAGATGCCACGGGCTGTGTGGTGCCAGGCCAGCGGAGCCTCTCCCTGAGTGTTGAGGGATCGAGAGAGCAAAGCTTGTCTGTTGAGAGAATTCAAGGGAGTGCCATCTGGTCCACCCCGCATCCCACAGGAGCTCAAACCTGACCCTCCTCACTCCCTCCATGGGCCTGGCCCAGGTCCTGCTCTGTCTGTCTGGTCCTTCACTCCTCCCTGCAGCCTACGGGTGCCCTGCCTGCCTCTCCAAGTACACTGGGCCCCTCAGCCTTACTCTGTTCCGGCCACACAACCCGCTACTGCTCCACGTCTAACTCTCTGTTGAGCAGCTAGCTGATGCTCAGCAGGTCTCAGCTCAAACTCCACCTCCTAGGTCCCTTCTTCCCTGGAGTCCTGTTCAGATCGCCCCATGCCTGGTTACTTGTCCGGTCTGTCTCCCCACCAGGTCACACTGCCCTGTGTCCTCTGAGCCCAGATGCGGGGCAGCTCCTGTGAAATGCTGAGGGATCAGCACTGTGGACACAGTAACAAAGGGGGGCGGGGGGCTCTGTAAACTGGCGGGGCCAGAGAGACTTTCAGGTCAAATCAAAGATGACTCTGCCTCCCACTGTGAGGCAGCGAAGTGCCTTCCAGAACTGGGATGGCAAACTCTGTGCGTGAACTCACTACCAGGGAGCCAATTCAGGCTCCAGAATGACCATATAGGACAGGGGAGACCTGCCCCTGGGGGTTTGTGAGACTGTAACTGTGCGGGAGTAGACAGCCTCATCTTTCTCTCCTGGAGTGGCTGTTGGTCTCGAACTGCTGACCTTAGGGCTAGCAGTCCAATGCATAACGCACGACGCTACCAGGGCTCCCTCTGGGTAAAGGGCAGTGAATATTTCTGGCCTTGAGGGTCAGAGGGCCTCGGTTCCATTCCTTTTTGCCCCTGTGGCTTGAAAGCCACTTTATTTGTGGGCATGGAAGTTTGACCGTTACACCTGTTTCACCTGTCATGGAGCTGCAGGAGCCCTGGTGGCGCTGTGAGTTATGCCCTGGGCTGTGAACAGCCAAGGGGAGCAGTGTGAACTGACCAAGCTGCTCCACGGGAAAGATGAGGCTGTCTGCTCCCATAAAGAATCACCATCTCTGAGATCCTAGGCAGTAGCTCCGCTCTGTCCTACAGGGTTGCTCTGAGTTGGAATCCCCTTGATGGCAGTGAGTTTGTTTGGTTTTGGGTCATGAAACCACTCCCCTGTAAAAAAATGGACAGCCAATCTTAGCCTGCAGGGGAACAAAGTCAGCAGGGTCTGCCACCTGTGTGTGCTAGCTGCAGGATCCTGGCACTAATGGCTTTTGTCTACTTAGCTGCGTGACCATGGATATGTGTATAGTATGCCAGGCACCACAGGCAGACGGGATATCCCTGCCTCATTGAGCCTGTATTGTTCTTATGAGCGGCCGCTGACGAAGGAGGATTCGGCGCAGGGCTGGCTGAGTCACCAGCCTGGGGTCAGAAGCCGCTGCATGGCAGAGCACGTTCAGACCCGGAGATGCATTGCTCTGCCACCTCCGTCTTTCCTAAGGCGCGTCCCAACCCCAATATGCTTCCGTCAATAGCAAAGTGACATGTCCAGGCTCGTCACGTGCAGCTCCCTGGGCTGGCCTGTCCCCCCACGCGAATTCCTCACTGGCTGGGCCACCTCAACCAGTGTCTGCACTGCCCTGGGCTTATTATAGTTCCTCACCTGTAAAGTGGATGAGGACCACAGGACTGAGTTTCTGGGGCTACTGTGAATGAAATTGCAGAGAGTTAAGTACCCGGGTGAGAGCAGATGGGCGTCCTGGTACAGTGGGTAACGGAGTTAGGCTGCTAACCGCAAGGTCAGCCAGCAGTTTGAAACCGCCAGCCACTCCGTGGGAGAAGGAGGCTTTCTACTCCCACAAAGAGTTACAGTCTTGGAAAACTACAGGGGCAGTTTTAACTTGTCCTATAGCAGCGGTTCTCAACCTGTGGGTCTCGACCCCTTTGGGGGATCAAACGACCCTTTTACAGGGGTCGCCCGATTCATAACAGTAGCAAAATGACAGTGATGACGTAGCAACGAAAATACTTTTATGGTTGGGGGGTCACCACCACATGAGAAACTGTATTAAAGGGTCGAGGCAGGAAGAAGGTTGAGAACCACTGTCCTATAGGGTCACTGTGAGTCAGAACCAACTCCATGGCAGTGAGTTAAGTTACTCACCTAGAGGGTGCCAGGTTGAACCAACCCAGGGTGCTGAGGAAGAAACCCCGGGTGATCTGCTTCTGCAAAGATGCCTCGTTGCAGTCAAGTTCATTGCAACTCACAGTGCCCCTTTAGGTCCAAGGAGAACCCCAGCCCCCCACCTCCTTACAGGGTTTCCAAGGCTGTACTGTTTTCCAGGGGGGCAATGGGTTCAAACCTTTTGGTGAGCAGCCCCTCCGCCACAAGGCCCCTTTCCCAAAAGAACACAGGCCAGGAAAAACGCCCGTCGGAGTAGAGCCGGCTGGATGGCAAGGGGTGCCCTTACAGATCTTATCCGCTCTGGACTTATCGCTCGGGCTGCAACCCCGACTCTACCGTTTCCGAGCGGCAGGGCGTTGGGCCAGCTGCTTAACTTCCCTGTGCCTCAGTTTCCTTGCCTGTAAAAGGGGGCTTGCAAAGGATCCATGTGCCAGGGCTGCCGTGACGACTACGTGGGCTGTGTGCTTTGCAACGGGAGATGCCCAGCGGCAGTTAGAGGTCGGCAGGCGGAGTACTGCTCCTGCCCATCGTGGTGGGCGCCTCTTACACAGCCCCCGATGCAGTCCGGGCTCAGGGGTCCCCCTTTCCCCAGGAGGAAACGCGCACGTCCTTCAGGAGTAAATGGGGAGGGGGCTGGGAGGCACGGTGGTGCCCGAGGCTTGGGGGGCTTGGGTCGGAGTCGCCACTGGGAAAGCCGGTCGGCCAGCGCCGAGGCCCTCCGATTTCCAGCGAACGCGTCCGCACCCGGCGACAGTCAGACCCCCGACCTCACTGGGCCCGATCGCCCGCCCCTCCGTCGGCACTTACCTGCCTTCCTCCTGACGTCACGCCGCGATTGCGCCCGGAAGTGCGTGCCTGACGCAGGCGAGAGGGTGGGTGGCGTCAGGCGGGGCGACGCACCCTACGCCACGCCGATTGGCCGAGTGTGGGAAACGCCTCCCGCGCTCAGCCATCGGGGCGGACCAATCCGAGCTTTCCCCTGCCTGACGTCAGACGTTGCCATGTCCGGAACCCGATCTGGCGCGCTGAAGCCATAGGAGTTCGGCTGCCTTCCCGGGGCACAGGTCTGAAGCCTCAGATCTTTGAGGGTAGGCAGGCAAGAATAGTATTCATGCTTTTAAATAGGGAAGCACTCAAAAGGAGAATAGTTCGTGAGTCATCAGAGTGTGAAATTCAAATGTTAATGTGCATACAGTTTAATTGTCATATAGTCATACCCATTGCTTTACCTGGGCTTCAAAACCAAACCCACGGCCACCTAGCTCACCGTGACTCACCCGACCCAGCATGGGGCGTCTGACACTGTACATCTAATTTTTCTCCTGTGAAGCGACTCGTGGTTGGAACGCTGAACAGAGTGCTTATCCCCCAGGGCCACCAGGGTTCATGTTCAATGGGTGAAATTGAAAGTTTATGGCCCCAGGATCTAAAACACTCTCTGGCCTTTTCTAGAAGAAACCCTTACTTAAGAGCCTTCTAACATTTGGGTTACCCAAGGATAAGGTGACCAGATTTAAAGCGAGACACCATTGACCAGGGGGCGGGGGGTGTTCTTGATTAAGAATTGGGTCTATATGGACCAAATAGACTGTTCCCTAGCTTGTCGTGCATTCTTTCAAAAATTTGGGATTTTTAAAAAAAAAGTTTATTTTTATTTATTTTTTAAAAATCAATTTATTGGGGTTCATACAATTCATCACAATACATAGATCAATTGTGTAAAGCACATCTATACATTTGTTGCCCTCATTATTCCCAAAATTCGCTTTCCTCTTGGGTT